TTATTTATTACTTGCTATTACATTATATGTGTCCTGAAGTCTATGATATAATATGTGACAAAACATACAATGAAGTTAATACACTAATGGACAATTTTTACAATCCTGTCCCTTTGGAAGTTGCTGAAATTTACAGGTTTCAAACCAGAAAGCAAGCCGAGGGAGAATCAGTGCAAGAATTCTTACTAGCATTACAGAAGACAGCAATAAATTCAATAAATTTTTTACAATCTAATAAATCTAGATTTCATTGCTCAAAATATTTAAAACTTTATAATATTACACAAATACAAATATTACATTCTAGTTCAGACACTAACAGGTATGTTATCGTTGTGGAGATGCTTCTCATTTAGCCACTCAATGTAAAAAAAAATTGGTATGTAATTTTTGTAAGAAAAGAGGACAAAAGATAAATTTGTTTACTCAGTTGCTGTAGTTTTGCGCGTGAAGGGGAGACATCCAATGATGTCTCACCTTATTCTACTTTGGTTTAGTTCTGAAGAAGACATCATTGGATGTCTCCCCTTCACGCGCAAAACCTGTAATCACATTTACTTAATACTCTTTTTTTGATGTAGATTGTAAATAAACATAATTATAAAAAAAAAAAAAAAAGTTGCTGTAGTAAATATTATTAACAAAAATGAATTTAATGAGAATTTTACCGAATTACAATTACAAAATACTAATACAAAGTTAACTACTTACTTTAAAATTGAATTACATGTTTTAGGTATGGTTTTAGAATGTATTTAATGAGAATTTTACTGAATTACAATTACAAAATACTAATACAAAGTTAACTACTTACTTTAAAAATGAATTACATGTTTTAGGTATGGCTTTGGTGACAGTTGAGCACCAGATTAGAACTAAATCCTTGAAATTATATATAGTTGATGGTAAAGGCCCCCCATTGCTTGGGAGAGAGTGGATACATTTATTAGATATAAATTTACATAATGTGAACACTGTCTCAATTGCAGAAAAGGAGTTAACACAATTGTTTACAAAATATAAAAATTTATTTGACAAATCTATTAGACAATTTCTGATACCAAAGTTACACCTACCTTACGTAGTACTTCAAGAATATGTAAACCTATTGTAAAAATGAATTTGTAAAAATATCGTTGTTAAGGGAGAAAATGTTGATGTATAGACATATTTAAGTTTGTATTACTTACAGATTGTAAAAGAAAAGAAAAGGAGAGAACCGCATAGCAGAAGGTTAAGAATAATAGTTTTTAGTATTGTACATATATATTAAAATAAAGTAGTTTTCAAGTAATATATATTTTATTCTACACTAAATACACAGTACACAACAAAAACAATCGGTATTGAGCGATAATTTGGTATAAAAGTACCAAAAATTTAAAAAGAAAATAGGTTGAAGTAAGTTTAATTTCAAAGTTCAAAATCGGTATACATAAAAAAAATGCATTTTCTCAGCTTTAAATGGAGCAATTTTCTTCATTTTTTTTTTTTAATCCGAAGTAACTTGAGTAGAGCCAGCTAAATAGCGCATTATCAAGTTCCAAATATGTTTTATTTTATTACAATAAATAAAAAAAAATTTCTAACTAACGTACATCTACCTAACTTCGCACTTCTAAATGCCAAAAAGGCTTTAGTTTTGTTGTAATAAATAAATTTATTTATAACAAAATAAAACCACATAGGTATTTCTTACTACGTTGTAGAATTTTTTTTAGAAAAACTTACCACATGTGCACCTTTTAATGTTACAAATAGAAATATTTAGAGACCATTTAAAAGATTATTTAATAAAACAAATAATGTTTAACTAATTTATACAGCTTTCAAATAAGACAAGTTGCATTTAGGGTCTACAACATAGAAAAAAATAAGTTGTTATATTTTGTTAATTTATTTATAACAGCATTAAAGCATTTAGGATTAATGGATTGAAGGAAATGATTAATGGTATTTATTGCTATTTTGCATCAAGGGTAATAAATTAAGACATTTTTAACCTCTATTCGTATAATAGGAAATAATTATCTTTATTTTATTTTTGTACGACTTTGCTCCAAAATGAATGGTTTTAAAGTTTTAAGCAAAGAAAATAGAAAACAAATCGATATTTTCAGTAATATTTAAAGCTTTTTATCTTCTAATTAATTTCCTAATTCAGACATAATATATTTTTGGGTTGCACGTTATGTTTACTATATAATTTTGACTAACCTATATTTACTTACTTAAAATTGATTTGCTTCAAGAATTTATATAATAATGAACGACACATATTGGGAAGATCTGGGCGGTTGTTTACTGCACTTAAAATTTTATTTAATGTAGGCATTTCATTCTTAAAAAAGAAGCTATGTACTATCTGGTGTACGGATGATTTAACTTTTTCATCATATGTTGCAAGGATGGAAGGTCGACCGCCAATATTTTTAGGACATCTTAGTGTTCCAGTCTGCTTATACTCTTTTATTGTGCGGTAAATAGTTGAATTCGCAACACCTAAAATTAACACATTACTTTAGTAAGTCTTGATTTTAACAATAAGTATTCTGTAAAACTAACCTGTTGCCTGTTTAATTTTTGCTACCGTAGCTGTTATTTTTAATTCAGAATTATCAATTTTGATTTGTTTATACATGTTTATAATGCATTGCTTCTCATTTGAAGATAAATGACCCAAATCTACTCTGCGTTTTTTAGGTGGAGAAGAATAATTAACACTAGAGCTTGGCATTGAATCCATATTGTAATCTTAATAACACTAATATGTCACTAAATAGTTCTGAAAAGAACTGTTTTTTATATAAATGCAAACGAAAAATCTAAAAAATCAAAAGAATAACTCAGAAAATGAAAAAAATCGTCGATATAAATTTTGAATTTTAAAATTTCACAAATGTCATTAGTGTCAATATGTCATAATTTAGTGGGGTAAACTTGCCTGCGATTAGACCAATTACAAACAAGCATTATGGCGCGGAAAATTTGAATTACTCCTCCTGGTTTAAAAACAGACCAAGACACCAAGAGAAAAGGGGAAAGGCAGAATAATAACTGACACCCCAAAAAAGCTTCTTCTGGCAGAAAAACAGATCAATAAAACAACAAAGAAAACAACTCTAATGCTGAACGTACTAAATCTACGAAAATAAAACTACTTCTTGAAAATGAGAAGAATGATAAGACATGTGATGATGAAAATGGCAAAAACTCTGATGATGAAGTATTAAAAGAACCACAGCAAAATTTTGACAGGAGTGAATCGAAAATTAAGATTTTGTGCTGGTTAAGTTTGGGGCTGTAAAAGATGTGTACTATGTTGGGAAAATCATTGGTAAATGTGATGATGGGGATGTTGAAATTTCATTTTTTAGAATATCATCTAAAGTAGATTATACATTTTTGTGCCCCATCGTACCGTATATCTCTAGTGTTTATCAGAAATTGTAGCCCTTTTGCCAACTTCTTCTGAGTAGGGTACAAAGCAACATAAATCATTATTGTCTTTTTCAGTTTCATTGGAAAACTTCAATGTGCATTAGGGGTTTGATTAAGTACCTATCATAATATAGTTTTAAAATATTGTAATAAATAATTTCTAAAACATTTATATCAGGTTGTCATTTTTCCAATTGTTTCTGAAACTGCCCCATTCCCCGTCTGAAGGTTCCCCCAAGTGCGGGCACCTTCAGACGTTTTTGAAAAAGTGGTTTTGATGTTTTTTTACAACAAGTATAGGGTTTAATATTAAAAGCATATATACAGTGAAAGTTGGATGAACAATGTATTTTATGAATATTTTCTTTCTTTATTTGGTGAGGTATTTAAAGTGATATGACAGTTCAAATTTTTATACCTGAATGAGCCCCACTCTCCCCTAATTATGAATAAGTCACCAACTATACTTCCCCGTTAAATTAATTAATGGGGAATAATGTTATGTAACGGCATATCATTCGGTAATGAACAATTTTTGTTTGTTTGTTTTTTTTTACACAAAATGCAATATATCACCAGTCATGTTAATTCGTTGATAATTTTTGCTAATTTCCAAAAAAACAATAATTGAGAGTTTAACAAACTAGTATTTTTGGTTGTCTAAACACTGGCGTGCTCAGAAAAGAAGATTCTAAATTGATTGTTACCAGATATATTGAACACTTGTTATATTGTTAAAGAGTTGTTTATAGTCCTAAACGAGTTGCTGTTAATTTCAATAAGATTTATAAAATATCACTTCTTGAACTGTTTGTTATGTCATGAATTTTTGCTCTATGAATTTGTTCAGACATAGACCACTCTCCGAACGTTGGCACATACATATTAATAATTTTCGTCACATATTCTTATATTTCCTATATAAATTCCAAGCTTCAATTTTATATTTAACGATGAATTACTATTCTGGTTGTTTTTCTTGATATAACGTTTACAAAATATCTAATTATTAGGTCGTCACTTTTTTCACCTGCTCTCATTTTCAAATATATATCATCACGTCAATAAATTTTAAAATTATATTCATAAATAAATCAAAATTTTTAAATAGATAAAGAATATTACAATACAAATTTTGCCAAACATAGTATGAAAGATATACGAAAATAAATAAAAATAACTACTTCAGCTTGATTACTCCTCCTGACGATAGATGGCGCCAAATTTAATTTAATCTTTTGTTACATTTTAAGAGATAAAACATTATTTACTTAATCATTAATTTTATCTTTAACCGCAAAGTACCACTTTAAATAAATATTAATATTGATCAAATTACCATATTATCGGGAATGATAACTATTATTTTCAACAATTTCATATTCTTTATTTATTGGTCATTTTTATACATAAATATAAACATTTTAATGTTTAATTATACATCGAAAATAAGCTCAGAGAAGTTTTGTATATTTTTAAAATGAAGAGTTAAACTAATAAGCTTTGAATACCTAATAAATAATAATTTGAATATTCCCGCTTGCCTTTGACAATTCGGTGGCTGGGTGTCGGTTGATTTGTCAGATTGTCAGTTAGTGTATGAGTGCAAAATGGCTACCAGTGATGATGAACCTATGCATCATTTATATGAAGTTTTTACAACTTGTTTTAATAAAGTAGCGAACAAAGCACCTGGTAAGTCATTAATTATTCTATTATTTACGAATATAAATCAATGTTGGTATAAATTTTGCGGTTATTAGAGTGTATAACGCCAAAATAATACCATTCAAACGCGTGCCATCTCAAAACATTGGAACAGCTTGCTTTAAAAACCCTTTTATAAAAATTTTTGACTACATTGAAAATACATTTGTCTGTTGTGTTTTATAAATTGGAATATGTCTAATTATTTTTCGTTGGTCTGTCAGCAGATTTCGCTCAAATAATTCGTTAAAAAAGCGTTTAATATTATTTGTGTCATCGTACTCTTCAAGGAAGATATTTTAGTGTTTACATCTTGAGTTCAGCGAATGTCTGAGGTCCCGTACACTCTGGAAGGTGGATATCATTATCTAGAAGAAAATATTTTTATTAGAATTAGTATTTAGCTGTTAATATAGGTAGTTCTTGGTTAAAATCTGTGTTTTAACTTCACTATTAAGAACAATACATTCACCTAGATAGTCATTTCTTGGCCGCTACCTATACGTAAATTACTTAAAACCAATCTTATTAGTAACATATGCAATTAACTGATCCACACAGTATTTACAAAAACGAATTTTTTAATTTAGTTACTTGAAAAAACCTTAGTTTTAATTTATACTCATCATAAGCAAATAAAACTTGCATGCATTTTTACAATCTTTTTGATGCACTTTTATTAAATGCAATTAAAAACTAGATCATTAAAATATCTTACCAAATTCTTACTTTGTCATCTCATCAAATGTTTGCTTTAACAGTATTGTTTATTTACTTTTTTAATTACCAATCTAGATAGTTTATTCAAATTCATTGTTTATATTTACAGTTTTGTGTACTTTAGTAATGTGTTCCATGTTTATTATTCATAACACAAAACCACTGTTTTGCAGTTTTCTGTTATAAGAACTTTTTCTTTATTTTGTAAAATATAGAAATACTTAAAATATAATACCAATACTGTTTATGAATAAAATTATTAGAAGATAAAACTTTGTTATCAGTGAAAATCTTTATCTTGCATATGTGAAATGTGTATTTTCTTTTGTGAATAAAAACTATTTATTTTTTTGCTATTGCCAACCTAAATAATTGTTAGTTTTAGTAGGCAAGTGCCAGTTTGGAACAAATGCATTTTAGCATGTAGGACAGATTTTTTTTATTTCTCATCTTCATTTTTCTTCTCCATGAAGAGATTTGAATCTTGCATTATTAAAAAGTTGTAATAAGTTGCAACCAAACCATTTCCATAGATTCTAACTAAACCAGGACTCTACATTTGATTGCTTTCTTTCTTATATCTTCCTTATGAGTCAACTCAAAGGTTGCTAGCCTCTGAGTTACTTTGTCGAGAATGCTTATTTGCTGATATAAAAGTTTAAACAACTAAATTTTTTAAGATGACAATCAAAAATGGACTATTTTTGAAACATCTACATATAAATTTAATTTTTGTTTAAAAAGTGGGATCAGTGAAATATTAAGACAGCAGGAATTAAAAAAAGGAAAATATGAAAATATATGTTATTGATAACATTAAAAAATGTGAAACATCCATTAACTTCTTATAATCACTTAAAAAATTCAGATACATCATTTTTAGTTCACCATGAAATTATAGTTTAGCATGTAGTTGCAGTTTTTTAAAAACATTTAAGATAAGTCTTATAAATTATGCATAAGGTGCTGAATCAGAATATGACATTCCTTTTTAGTTCCTGTTTTTAGTTGTTAGCTCAGTACCCCAGCAAACATTACTGATTTGGATGTATTGTAGTTTTTTTCCAAGTTAACTTAACAAAATGCCATCAAGTCACCTAATTTTGCAAGTTAGCAGCTACAAACTTTACCTTTTTTTTTTTAAACAATTAACGAAATGTTAAATAGTTGTAGCAAATCTATGACAGTATTTGAAAATAACTCTATATTCCAGAAACAAATTTCTGTAGTTTGTTTTACAACAGGCTGCATATTATGCAGCTAAAGTCCCAAATATTATATAAATTGGAAGTAAATTTTAAATTGACAGACGGAATACCTTATATTGACCAGATCTGCTATGTACAAATTTACTTCTATTAACGAAAATATACTGAAATATAAGATGAAAATGAAAAGAATGATAATTGACAGCAGTATATCTGAGAAAAGATCTAGATGAAGATATATATATATATATATATATATATATATATATATATATATATATATATATATATATATATATATATATATATAGTCCCAAGATTCCTAAGAGGAACATAGGGCTTCCACAAAGTGTCTCCAGCGAACTCTATTTCTGGCTAGTGCTTTGATTTCAAGCCAGGATTTTCCCATTGTTCTCCCTTCGTCCAGTACTGTCCTTCTCCAAGTTCCCTTAGGTCTGCCTACTTTCCGTCGGCCTTGGGGATTCCAATCCAGTGCTGTCCTGGCAATGTCATTTGGCGGTCTACGGAGTGTGTGGCCCAGCCATCTCCATTTTCTTCGCCTTATTTGCTTTATGACATTTTCTTGGTTGCTTTGGTTCCATAAATTTTCATTGGAGATTCGGTTAGGCCAAAATATATGAAGGATTTTTCGTAACGCTCTATTAATGAAAACTTGTAATTGGTGTACTATGGGTGCTGATATCTTCCACGTTTCGCAGCCATACAGTAATACAGCTTTTACATTTGTGTTGAAGATTTTTAGTTTCGTTTTAGTTGGGTAAATCCTGGATTTCCATATGTTGTTAAGCATGTTGTAGGCGTTGCGAGCCTTATTTATTCTTTCATGTACATCACGCTCTGTACCCCCATTACAGTCAATTATGCTGCCCAGATATACAAATTCCGCTACTCTCTCAATTTTCTGGTCGTTGATCATAATAGGTTGGTTGTTTCTGGTACCAAATCGCATTTCTTTGGTTTTGTTGGTGTTTATTTCTAGACCAACCTTCTTTGATTCTTCTTGTACTTTGTTTACTTGGAGTTGCATGTCCTGTTTTGTATGTGCTAGGAGGCATATATCATCAGCGTAATCTAGGTCTTCCAGTCTGTTTGTTAATCCCCAGTAAATTCCTCTATTAGAGTTTACCTTTGTTAGTACGGAGTCCAGTACAATGTTAAATAGTATAGGGGATAAAACACAGCCCTGCTTTACTCCGTTTAGCATAGCTATTGGGTCAGATGTTATGCCGTTGTGTAGGATTTTGCTTTCTGTGTCACTGTAGAGTTCTTTGATGAGATTTACTATTTTTTCTGGTATTCCTATTTCCTGCAGTGCTTTCCATATGGCCGTATGTGTGAGCGTGTCAAAAGCTCTCTTGAAGTCCACAAAGCACACAAAGAGAGGAGAGTTGAATTCCTGTGACTGTTCTACAATTATTCTTAGTGTGTTAATTTGGTCCACGCATGATCTGTTTGGTCTGAAACCGGCTTGTTCCTTCCTCAACATTGGTTCTACACTGTTTGTTAGTCGGTTGTTTATAATTATTGCTGTTAATTTATTTATAGTATTCAGAAGTGTGATTCCTCTCCAGTTTTCGCAATATCTTCTGTCACCCTTTTTTGGTATCTTTATTATTAATCCCGTTTTCCATTCTTTGGGGAACTTTTCCTCTCTCCAAGCCCTTTTCAAGAGTGGTTGGATTAGCTCTGCCACTGTACCTGGGCAAGCTTTTAACAACTCTGGTGGAATATTGTCAGGGCCGGCTGCTTTGTGTGCTTTCAGTTTTTCTATGGTCATTTCTATTTCTTGCGTTGTTGGTTCGTTGGTGTTAATTCTCAGTTGGATATTGGGTATTAGGTTTTCTGCGTCTTCTGGTGGTGTTGGGACTGCACTTAGAGATTCGCTAAAATATTCATGCCATCTTTTGACTTGTTCCTGTGGCGTTGTAATATCTTCACCTGTAGCACTTTTTACAATTGGTTGGTGGGTAGTATATCTTTTATTGGCTAGTTGTTTAGTGATATTATATAATTGTCTCATGTTTTGATGTTCATCGGCGACTCGCGCTTCTTCGGCAAGATTTTCTGCCCACTTTCTTTTGTCTTTCTTTGCTGCCTTCTTGACAGCTTTATTCGCTTGTCTATAGCTTTCTCTAAGTCGGTTCTTCTCTGCTGCTGTCTTGGAATTTAGTAATTCTAGATTAATGTGTTTGCGACGTTCTATTTTGTTCCACGTTTCTCTCGTAATCCACTCTAGATGAAGATACCCATTAACATAATTATTTTAAATAAAAAACATGAATGTTTACTGATTATCAGAATCAAAACACACAGATATTTAAATGCATCAGTGGTCACAATTAATTGAATGGTATGTCTCAAATGATCATCCTTACAAATGATATAGGACACAGGAAGAGAATATTTGAAAGTGTTCTGAAGGATTGTTTCCTCCAATGCATTTCATACGAATTGGTCCTTATCCTCATGCACTACTGAAGGACTCAGTACTTCCGTTTTTTTAAGTTTTGTTTGTCATCAATTTCCTTCAACATTGTTAATGAACAATTGTCACAGGATCTTTGAAATATTTGGTGCAGTTATATTATTTATTAACTCGCCATTTATCAGTGAATTAGTGATGCTTTTTTAACTTGTTATTTAATGATTTTTAACTAAATCTTCTTGACTACTTTTTAATTCATTCTTACATTCGTAGACTCTTGTAAATCAACATATTCACGAGCCAAAAGTATCAATCTGTAAAGTATGATTTCAGTTTGTTCCATATTTCTGGAACAGTATTTTTCTATTTTGACCTTGGTACCATGCTTCCATTCAAGTCCAGTCATTTCTACTGCAATTGCAGAAACAATTTTACTACACAAGAAAGGAGACAAGGCGCACCACCAACACGCTGAATGGACGACATTAAATGAATATTCAAGAAATGGCAACAAGACACACAGAACCGTGAAGAGTGGCGAAAAATAGGAGAGACCTATGCCCAGCAGTGGACAGACGAGGTTGCATGATGATGACCATGCTTCCAAACTAGAC